AGTACTGCTAGAGCAAGCCTTGCCTGCTTAGTGACCTCTGCAGCAGAGTGGTGCTGGGGGTAGGGTACACTTTCAGCAAGACTTTCTCTTGAGTTTTTTTAAAGGGCCTACAGTGCCTCTTGCACTTCTCTCCTGACTCCGTTCCCTTTTGCCCATCATCTATAATTATTTTCTTAATTCAATTCCTAACCTTCTTAAAACTAATACTTGAATATTAGTTTCAAGCTTATTAAATTATTATTGCCAGCACATCAATATATGACTCTTCCCTTAAGCACTCCCACACGTGCCTGAAAAGTCCATTTTATCTGATATAAGTATAGCTCTTTTTAGATGTTAATTTTTATGGAATAAATTTTCCATCCATTTGCTTTCAGTGTAAATGTGTCTTTATTGGTAAAATGAGTTTCTGGTAGGTAACATATAGTTGGGCCTTGGGCTTTGTTATTTTACTCTTTTAGCCATTTAATTGGAGAATTCAATCCATACACATTCAAGATAATTATCAATAGATGAGGACTTACTCCTGCCATTTTTCTACTTGAATTTTATTTTGTAAACCTTTCCATTCTTCCTTCCTCTCTTATGGTACTTTTTGTATTTATTTTGATTCATTGTTTTTTATTGTTAGCCTATCTCTTATATATTTTTTGGTTGGTGGTTATCGTGAAAAAAATCTCATGGTTATTACAAGGTATTTTAAAATGATAACAAATGAATTTTAGTATTTTTATTATTTTAATCTCTCTATTATGGTCCTCTGATAAATTTCTGTATTGTGCACTGTATTTTTATGAAGTTCATTGAGTGTCCTTAAAACATCTATGTTGAATTTTTCATCAGAGAATATCAGATATCTTCATCACTTCAGGGTTGGGCTCTGGCCCCTTGTTTTGTCTATTTGATTAGGTCACATTTTTCTGAATGTTCTTAATGTTGTGGACGTACAATCATATCTTTTCATTGAGGGATTAGGTATTTATTTCAGTTTTTACAGTCTTGTTTTGTTTTTTGTGACCTTCGGTAGGCCTTCCATGGACAATAATCAGCATAACTATTGTACATCCTGAGCCCATGACCACTTCAGCCATCTTATCACTAAATGGGTATAAGTCAAAGCCAAAGTTTTCTCTGTCTTGCAAGTGCAAGGTTTCATGCAAGTCTTCTAAGTGCTGTGAGGTTGGCCCACCTCTCAAGCCTGGAGAGACTTGAGGAATACCCAAGGAGGGCTTATAAGAAATTTGGCCAGTGATTTGAATCTGGAAGCCTATTCTGGCAGCTCTTATTGGTGCACCTGCCAGCAGTAACCTACACAGGTAGGGGAGATATTTTTCTACAGTTAGAGGAACTAGAGCCAAGACAAGATCTCCTCATGATCTGCTATAGAGTAGAAGCTGGTAAGCACACCCCAATAGTGTGCGGGCATGCCACCGAATATTTCCCTCCAGAGATGGGATGGTTTCCTATTTATAGAAAGAGAGGATGGAACTACTACTGGGCCCTCTTAGGATCCACTGCAGGAAGGAAATTTGTGATTATTTTATGATGGCCCATCTGGCATGCATCCTCTGGCAACTTCCTAAATAGGGAAACAGATACCCAACTGTAGGGACTGGGGCTGGCACTGAGACTGGGCCCCCTCAGAATCTGCTGTGAGATAGAGATGGGCAAAGCTGTCTTGTTGGCTCAGCTGGCCACATGCCTATCTTAAGGTTGGTGGGATATTTTCCCAATAATAGTGAGAGGAGCTGGGGTTGAGATTGGGCCCCCCTCAGGATCTGTTGTGAGAAGAAGCTGGTAAACCTTATCAGATTGGTATATGTTCCCCAGAAGGTTCCTGCAAAGGCAAGGTAGGTTACTGACTCAGTATTAGGGGCGATGGCTGAGACTGAGACCTCACAGGTTCTGTTAGGGACAGAGGCTAGTGAGACTATCTTATTGGCTTATGTTAACCTGCATCTAACTATAAGTTAGATACCTATAAGTTAGGTATCTACCTATAAGTTCCTGGACAGACAGGATAGTTCCTTGACTATAACAGGAGGAACTGAGACTGAGTTTTGTTAAAATTTATTGTGGCACAGAAACAGGCAAGCCCATCACAGGGACTCATCCTCGCAGGATGTGAGATATGGGTCCCCATGTGAACAGTTCTAAGCTGAGACCTCACTTGAGAGGGGTTGGAGTCAAGCCACATGGCAACTTTCCTGATCACTGATGAGACTGATGTCAGTGGGCAGACAAGACCCTCTGCTGAGGTGTTAGTGCAAAGAAATTGTCCTTGATTTTTTGGCAGATGGTTTTAGTTGCATGTTTGAGTCCAAATCAGGCTGTAGCCAAGCCCCTAAGGGAAGGGGTCATTTCTGGGCTTGAACCCAAGGGCAGGATCAGGTTTGCTGCCGGGGTGCCAGTCTGGACTTAAACCCACCTTCCTATATCTTTGGATCCATTAGGTTCCACAGCCTCCTACTTTAATACTGATGATCCCCCAAGGAGACTTGTCTGTAGGTGCAGGTGGAGTTTCTGTAGTTTGGAGGGGATTAGAGCAGTCATTTTGCTGATGTCTAAGCTACCCTTTCTTTGTAAAGAATAGATTTGCAAGGTTTTATGTTCTTGACTAGCAGGATTATTTTCAGCACTTTAAATATATTATCTTTCTCCCTTCAGGCCCACTTATATGCTGAAAAAAATGTTGACAGTCTTATCAAGCTTCAAGTGTATATAAATCACTTTTCTCTTACGGTTTTTAATTTTTTCTCTCTCTTTAACCTTTGATAATTTGATGCAGCTCAGTGTGGGTCCTTTGGGAATTACTTTATTTTGTGTCCTTTAGAATTCCCAGATGAGGATGTCTATTTTCTTCCCTATATTTGGGAAATGTCAGCCTTGTTTTCTTGAATCAGTTTTCTGTTCTTTTCTCCTTTTTTCCCTGGGACTTTTATCATTCTTATGTTCATCCTCTGATAGTGTCCCATAAGTTGTGTAATCTATCTCTACTCTTTATTTTTTTTCTTCTTTCTCCCTTTTCTTCCTCTGACTGGATGATTTTCAAAGACCTGTCTTTGAGTTACCTGATCTCTCTTCCTTAATGTAGTTTTCTCTTGAAGCACTCAATGTGATCTTTTAGTTAAGTTATCGCATTCTTTAACTTTATGATTTCTGATTGGTACTTTTAAAATTCTCCATCTCTTTATGGAAATTTTCACTTTGTTTCTGCACTGACTTCCTGAACTCAGTAAACATCTTTATAACCATTATTTTGAAAATTCTCTGTAGGGTAATAAACATCCTCATTTCATTAGTGTGGGTATTTATCTTTTTTTCTCCCATATGGAACATATTTATCTTTATCTTCATTTTGCTTGACTCTGTGTGTTGGTTTCTATACCTATAAAACAATAACTTCTCTTAGTCTTCACATGAGGCTCTCATACAGGAGTTGAAGCTGACAATTCAGCACAGCCAGGGATTCTTCGTGCCTTTTACACCTTTCTGTTCATTCAAACCATCATCTTCATTGTTACTTGTCCTCAGGAGAATAGAGTATAACAGTTCCCTTCTATACCACAAGACAGGTGAGACAGAAGCCAGTACATTGAGTAGCTGCCAAAAAAGTTGATGTGCCACCAGTGCAGTCCAATTTCTTTTCTCCTCTGGAACAAAACTCTGAACCTAGATTTTATCACCTGCTCACTATGCTCGAGCTGATAAGAGAAGCAATGGTACATACATGTATGCATATGCAGGCTTCTTTTTCAAATCATTTATTTGCTCTTGGTTGCCTCCAGGGAACTAGCAAATTCTAGGCCATGTCAGCTCTCAAATACAGTTGGTATAGAAGCTAGTTCTTCAGGTGACAGTCATAGAAGTTGGGGGGCAGAAGTTTAATCCAATACAGTCTCAGGAGAAGCTGGAGACTTACCACTGAATTGATCTGGGAGAAAGAGCTGTGGAAAGTGCCCACATGCTTGTTTAAGCTCTTACGGGGCTAGTTATCACATGCTCCATTAACTCCCAGAAACAGGAATGTTAGAACCAAGACTTTTAGATAATAGCTGGAAAAGTTAGAATGTTAGACATACAATCTAACCCCTTCCTTGGAAAGGCTCAGAGCTAAGCATTTATATGGAACAGACCAGGGGAAAGGACCCCTTGTGGAGCACACAGCACTTTTCAAAACTGCTGTTTT